AAAATAAACTCCACCTAAACTTGGTTCATATCTGACCCAGAGAGACTGCAGGTCATAACTTCTTACCTGAAGTTCAGTTCACACTTGGACCGGCGGCCGCCTCGGGTCTCTTTTCCTTCTGTGTCCCTTTCCCTCCTCCAACTGCTGGCCTCACCACTTGCTAATATTACTGAATCTGTGGAAGCTCCGCGATGCCACCACACGAAGTAACGAGTAACGACCCTTTCTAAATCCCAGTAACGACTAACGCGTTCCTGGTTTTGGCATAATAACTAGTTACCGTGCTCGTTACCACAATAATAACGTAGTTACTGTAACGCGTTACTTAATAACGCGTTAGTCCCAACACTGGTGTTATATGTAAGTGAGATGTTCATATGACATGAAACTTTTACAGTATCATAAGACAAAAATAAATTTGGTTTGTATTGTTTTCATATAGGTACCCTAGGGGGTAGGGTACCACACCTGAGGAGCTAAGGCTAAGTTAGCTCTTCAGGGTATGTTAAGGATATTTTTAGGTTCTAATATTATATGACATCATTCAAATAGAAATAAAGTACATAAACGTCCTAAGTATTTACAGGTATTTCGTCAGCTAGATGTAAACATTTTTTTCCAAAATAACTATGGATGACATGGTTAAATTACAAGCCAGTTATTTTACAGTAATAATAAGAATAAGAATAAGAATTTTAAAAATGCATGAATAATTCAATTATTATAACTGTAGAGATATCACACTGGAGAACATGAGTCCATAACGAATTATAATGTTAATAAACTGGCAAGTGTGTTAAGAACTTCATTGATAACAGTTTTATGAATAAAATTTAATACATGTATTTTCAAAAATATTGACATACATGTAACAGTTTGCTAATTAAATAAAAAATTTTAAACATGAAAATGAGTTAAAACAAAACAAAAAAACCCCTTTGTTTTACAGATATGTGGTCTCACCTTTCTTTGTAGATGAGGAGTGATGCAGTTGAGAGGAGAGAACTGGATCTATAATCCGAAGATGGTTGATAGTTATCCTGCAGGCTTTGTTTCCTTTTTTTTTCACTGTGTCAATAAGGCAGCGAGCCTTATTTGCTCTGGTTTGGTTTTCTTCTAATATCGATTCTTTCTCCAGATCATCCAAAACACCATCACTTACAAGGGCTTCAAGGAGCTGTGTAAAGATTTCTATTGACACCCTCTTCACAAATTCTGTCCGTAACATGGCAAGCTCCTCTAATAGATGAAGAAATGAACATGAATGTGTCACTTAGTGTCACAGTCAGGCTGCGAAGCTGACTGTATAAATGTGAGGAGTGGACCCAAAATGCAGACACATAGAACAAAACGTGAATGTTAACAAGAAGTGAGCCATTTAATATGGCTGATGGAAAAATACTAAGGCAAACAAAGATGAGACTAAACAAACAACCTAAACTGGGGAAACTAAAAATAAACATGAAAAATCCTAAACATGAAAGTTGGCATTGATACAAAGTTACCTGGAACATTAAACGTGGAACATGGAAACCTAGGAGCATGGCATGGAAAAGAACAGACGACCTGACAAGGAATGACTGACAACACAGGACTAAATCACACAGGAGGATAATGAGGGAAGTGGGAACACATGGGGAAACAGCTGACACACATGCACATAACGACATCACAGGGGAAACGTAAAACTAAACACATTGAACACAGGAACACAGGACCTCTTCAAACTTAAACAGGAAACATAATGAAATGCAAACATGACAACATGAACTTGAGAATTAAAAAGACATGCATACATGAAACATATAAAGGACAAGGAAGACTTAACACAGGGGTTGAAAACACAAGGGGAAACTAATAAACAAATGAACTTAGAAAACCCAATGAACTTAAACATAAACCATAGATATCAAAATAAAGTAAAACTTAAAACGCTGGGTCAACAGACCCAGGAACGTGACACTTAGTAAACTTAACTCTGTTTGAAAGATGTGCAAATAGATTACAATTCAGTTTTTTATGTGAGTGAATTCTGATAAAATTATATTTGTGAATATAAAGGTTCCACCCCTCCTGTGTGTAACTGATTAGTATGATTTCTGATTCCGATGCCAAGCAGGGCTTCCACATGGGCTTTCTTCCCTGAGCCAAAATGCTGAAGATGTGTTGTGAATTGAGGTTTGCAGCATGACAGTGACCCCCATAAATACCTCTGAGGCAGCAAAGTAGAAATAAATATTAGGCACATTAAGGTCATCAAGTACCCTAGCCAGTCTGCAAACCTCAGTCCTATATGTCTGTGAAGGTTCTCAGACGTCCAGGTTATCGTAGTCTAAACTTGGAAAGACTTCTTTAAGTTTTTTTTAAAGTTTTAAGAAACTTAAAGAAGCCCAGATGCTTTTCCTTCCAAGCTCCTCATACTCAGTCCTGTAGAAAGTCTGTGGATTCAGCTGAAACTTCAAGTTCCTAAGTGGCAGGCAAAGGTAACGAGGAGTGGGCCAAAATCTCTCCTGAGATGTGTGCAAACCTCCAAACAACTATGCTTGCCAAAAAAATAGGTTCTGCACCAAGTACTCCACTAAGTCATGTTTTCAAGTTCATCCAATTGATCATATGATCAACTAATCAATCACTCACTGGGTTATGTTTCTTTATCTTTCACTTTCTGCCTATTGCATACAACTGTGCAATGGAAACCTCTCAGACAGGCTGACCGAAGCTGACCCATAACATGACTCATCGACCGAGAGACAGTAACCTACAGTCTACTGTAGGAGGCTTAAACCTACCAATTAGAAACAGCTACAGTGCTTTTAAAAATGTGCTAAAATGTATTAGCACTTAGCTGTATCTGACTAGACTCATTTAACCATCAGTTAGATGAACAGTTCACTACAGCCACAGTTTTGATTCAGATGCTTATTATGAGATTAGACCTTTTTTTATTAACTTCCCTGACTTCAACTCCATCCATCCATCCATCCATCCATCCATCCATCCATCTTCTTCCGCTTTATCTGGGGCCGGGTCACAGGGGCAGCAGCCTAAGCAGAGAAGCCCAGACCTCCCTCTCCCCAGCCACCTCCTCTAGCTTATCCAGGGGAACACCAAGGCGTTCCCAGGCCAGCCGAGAGATATAAT